CAAACTGAAATAAAAGTGTTTAAAAAAAGACAAAGAATACTTCTATGCACACATTTAGGACAAGAATTGCCTTGTAATCAGCCCTTGCCAAAGGGCACGTGTACAATAAGGAAGATCTAACCCAGCAGTGCAAACAGTCACATGCTGTGGGTAAGCATGCCAGAGAGTTGGGAGAATTTGGCATACAGCAAACACTAAATTTGCCCCAGCCAGATCTATTGCCTCTAATTCTGAGCATTTTAAGAACAGGACAAGCAAAACCACACAGCAGCTTCAAGATAACTAGAAGCAGAGAGCTAGCCCAACAGTGACATTAAAACAAGTGTCAGTCTGCTCTGATAATTGGGAACAGAGCAGATGTTTAGGAAAGCTGAATAATTTATAGTTACATGTGAGCAGTATTTGCATGGGTGAATCCCATCTCCTAATCTAACTCTGTAAGTATTAATAATTACCTTATGGGCGGATATACTATCATAATTTGAAACTGCCATGAAGGCAGATAATGTCAGAAAAGAATGATTCAGTAGAAAAGCAAACCTTCTTAATCAGAATAATATTTTGCAAATTAAGGGTTTCGTTTGCTATGAAAAATAAGAAACCAAACTGGTTTTCAGAGAATCAGCCACTTTCATGTGCAACTTACAAATGTAATTTCAAACAAATGCAAATAAACGCACGCTGGAGGTTGGTGTGGTATGGCCAATTGGTTAGTTACGGCTTCTCAAATGCTTTGGCAGGACCAAAGTTGGGTGTGTGGTTTTTAATTAGGGCCTGTAGAGTATCTTTTAATAAGAGCTAAATAAATGTAATAATAATTCAAATTGACCTCTGCATAGGTGACATGAGTTTCCCAAGTGACCTTCAAATACTGTTGTAGCCAGGACAGGGCAAGTTAACTGCAGATGTGTTTATCCATGATTTGAGGAAATTTCTTTCTTAAAAAAGAAAATTGTAGGGGAAAAATGTTTTTAGTGAATAAACTACTTATAACCATATAATGAAATGGCAAAATATATTCAAAAATGTATATAGCCATTGAATCTCTCCCCTGAGAAATAATTACCGGCTTTGTGCCTTGTAACCCTTAACATTTATCTCTAACAGTATTGTAGAGCAGGCACTGTATTTTCTACTTTCTATCCACTTCATTTTTGCTTGCTTCTAGTGTTAATTGCTCATGTTTGATGCCAAGAACAGGACTCTATTATTTGAAGACCAATAAATATAAATTCCAATCTTAATATAACACAGAATAACCAACAAGGACCAGTTAGCCTTGGGTGTTCTAAATGGACTAAGTGACATTTGCCAATGGCAGATGCATTGCAAGGGGTGGTGTGGAAGTTTTCTGGGCTGGTAGATTTACTCACTGGGCACTCTCCTGGGAATGCGGAAACCTAGACCCTATGGCTGAACCGGCACTTTCTCTAATATAGTGAGTCTCTGCCCTTGAACATTCTTTCTTTGTGACCACGACCTGGAGCATGGATCACTGAAACTAACTCCCCTCCCACTTTCTGGATTGTTCAGTTGATGCTTTGTTCCTTCTTTACTCCTGTCAATCCAGCCAAAGATCTATGACATCCTTGATAATGGTCTTAAATTTGTGTTTCAAGTTACTGAATATTGTTTTGAATGAATATTTAATGTAAAAACACTTTGAAAAGTTAAAATACGTAAAGAGAGGTAAACACATATAAAAATTTGCTTTGAGGAACTTATGATTCTTGTTATTTCCTCTACAAGACCAAAGACTTCCATGTGGCAGGTTCTGAATAAATGTTCACTGAAATGAATCAAAAGAAGCAGGGTGAGGCATGGTGGGAAGGATCTGGAGTCAGAAAGATCTATGTGTGACCACATCTTGGCTGTTACTAGATTTATAGTTTTCTGTGCTTTAGTGTCCTTACGTGTAAAACAATGTGCTAATTAGACTTCCCTCAGAGAATCGTCATTCTCAGAATAACGCTTAGTACATAATAGGTGCTCCATAAAGGGGGGCTGTTATTATTGAATTGAAGTGGAACAAGTGGCTCACTTTTAGAGGTTAATCTAATCCACCTTTTAGTCTACCACAATGTGGGGGAGTGTTTATTCTGGGTTACCATTTAATCCTTATTTCTACTAACATATAGATGAGATTGACAGGTATGAGGAAGAGAGAATGCTGGGAGGTGGGGATAAGAGAATAAAAGCATACAAAAGAGGGGGAAAGGTATGACAGTAAAAGTGATGGTGAGATGTTAAAACATGCCATCAGCAACTGCCCCCCAAACCAGGGGCATCACCGCTACAGAACTTTACCCTTGACTCAAGACAGTTGGGTGTTTATTCTTTTCTACTTTTTAAAGAATTTCAAGGCTTTCCTTTTTAGTGTATTAATGTTCAAGTCATTGTCTAGTCTTCTTCAGCTGGTCCCTTTAATAGATATTTTCAAGTCCATACATCTATCCATTCATCATCCTTTTTTTTCATTCATTCATTCACTTATTAAGCTATGTATTCACAAGTATTCCTACCATGTGCTAGGCATTGTATTAGGTGCTTGTGTGTGTGTGTGTGTGTGTTTGTGTGTTTTGGAGGGGATAGATTTCTTCCTTTTTTTTTTGCTGGAAATTTGGTTTACTTCACTCCTTTTGTTAAATTAAAAAAAGCTCCTGAATTAAAAATAATCAGAATATCTGGGAAATTAAAAACAACAACAGATGAACTACTGCAAATCTGGTAAAGCAATTAGTCAAATATGGAGAGTGAAAAACATGCTTGGAATGATTTTGACTCATATAATTGCCTCAGAATAATTTCTTGAGTGTTTCTAGGCAACAGCAAATTTAAGAAGAAGAAACAAATGGTGTTTTTTTCCCCTCCTTTTTTCTTTTCTCTTCTCTCTTATGTTGTCCCAAAAGAGCAGCTTGTCAGCCTCCCTGCAATGTGATGTTAGATATGGCTGCTTGGGTGGAGCAGGAAGGCAGAAACATGTAGAATGTGATATTTTTCATGCAGCATGCCTTGTTGTGTTTGATGAGGCATTAGTTTCATTAAGGTACAGTTGGCCTGTGTAGGTAGATAAAAGCATTAGGTAGGGGTTAAACTTGGATAGAAACCATAACGAGCTTAACTTTGATAAACCATAACTAGCAACAAAATCATTTAACCTTTGTATTTATACATCAATGCTTGGGTTCTTTTTTGAAACTCAATCTTGCCTGCTACCTTTTGAGTTCACCGAGTAGATTATTGCTTTATATGATGTTGAGCCGAATGCATTTTCTAGTAGCCCATTACCATTTGTGGAATAATTTCCCATAAGTTAGGTAGGATGGCTAATAGTTGCTGTAATGGCCCGTTCTTCAGCTTTTCTCATGACATACAACAACCTACAAATCCCAAGGCTTCACATGCACCTTCCCATTGGTATCATATGTGGAAGGCAGTTTCTAACTATCTGGAGACAAGTGAAAGTGCATTAAAGGCAGGCAGAGGGTCAGAGGGTACTTCAGAATAGTAAAAAAATCCTTATTAAAGAACATTTAATCATAAGTAGATAATCCCTCTCAAAGGGAATGCAGTGTATTTGCATCATTCGCCTTGACAGTTGACCTTTTGCATCTTATGCTTATGACATTGCTGTCAGGCGCCCTGTGTGCTCCAATTAAAGTCAGAGGTCTTTGGACACAGTTCAAGAAGCAGCGAGTGTCTGGAGGGGAGCTTGATGCAAGGCAACTTGGCAGAGGGAGTCATGGAGCATGGCAGGGCAGCTGGATACGAAAGAGGAACCTAGGATGCGAATGTCTTAACTCCTTTGGACACTTCTTGGGGTGCTTGAGGTGTCGTTTTGGGCGTAGGCTATCGGATGGAGGAAAGAAACAGGAGTGACAGGATAGGATTTCTAAGCCACCCTATCAATTTGTGCACATGGATGTTTGGACTGAGAAGTTGGTGCTGAATTTGCACCTGTGCCTACAGTCAGGAAGCGAACGGTTCAGTGGTCACAGTAAGAGCAGGGCTCATTTGAGAGGCAAATTGAAACTCTATTTAAGCACAGTGATTCAGAAAGAGATGTTCAATATAGTTTTCCTCCTGGGAACATTTCCTCGTGAGGTATTAATCAGGGCACCAGGCAAAATATTCACTAATACTGTTCCAAAGCTAAGAATGTGACTCAGAGACAAAAACCATGGAAATCCACTTATTTTCTGAAATGTGGCCTCTCTTTGAAAAACAAAAGATGAGAAGATGAATAAATAGACATACTTTACTTAAAGGTTATGTGTGAGTCAGGGAACCTCTGAGTGTTCTTAATATGGCAAAGGGCCACATGAATGTCTACATAAAATGATGCACATCAGAGTGAAATCACAGCACGGATTGGAAGTAAAAAATGCTGTAAAAGAGTAGCAGTTACAAGATATAATTTTTGTAAAATTTTTCTGCAGGATCCGAGGCACAATTTCACTTTTACGATTAGGACTTTTAATTAGATTTTAAATCCTGGCTCTAAAGTTTTTAGCTGTATGACTTGGGGCAAGTTAGCCTCTATAAATGTCAGTTTTTTCACCTGTTAAATGTTATCAACCTCATAAGGTGGTTGTGAGAATTTAGTGAAATAATATATATGAAGTGCTTAGCACAGCGCCTGGTCCATAACAAAAGCTCTGTGGAAATTAACCCCTATTATCAGCATTTTAGTCCTGAAGCCATAAAGAAAACGCAACAATTATTTCCAAATGGAAAGAATCCCAGTTGGATGGTCATCTCAGTTTATTCCAAGAAAAGATTCTTTGTGCTGGCATAAAGAAATGAGAGATCTTGGCCAGAAGATAAAAATTCCCAGATAAAGCTCCAGGCAGTGTCCTTCTTTTAATTATTTGTGACTTCTAGTAAGGAATGGTATCTTATATTTTTTTGAACACCTACCACGTGCCAGGCACTCTGAGAGCTGCTTCACTCACAGTAGTCCTGCAAAGTGGCTATGATTGTCTCACTGTTACACACAGGGAAACTGAGGCCCGAAGAGATGAAAGAATATGGCCAGCCTTATGCACTACGGTCAGCAGAACAAGGATCTGAAGACCAAAGGCCGTGCCCTTTCAGTGCATCTCACAAAAACCGTGGAAGTAACAGGAATGAAAACTTCATGGGCAAAGCCTGACCCTGCTACAGACTCCAAGGTAATAGCAACGTTTCTATTTTGATGCTCCTATTAAAATCTTATCCTCTAGCTGAGAGGCCTGGCAGATGGCAAATGTCACCCTTGAGCAGGCGCCTAAGTCAAGTGATGAATCACATTCGGGATTTGGGATACTTTCCCTGCTTAGAGGAGGATGGCTCTGCCTAGTTCAACTTCACCAGTTGGCTCAGTGGCCATTCATAGCTAACAGGAAAATGTACTGTATTTAGCTGGTAAGAAGAGCTTCTTAAGCACTGTGGATAGTTGTTTAGGAGAAAGACTGAATTTAAAAACATGCACCTGATTATTTAGCAGCTTCAGAAATATCTGAAGAAAATGTTCAGTTATCAGGTAAAGCTGCTTTGGCAACGTGATTTCTCTAACACTGGGCAGTAGCAGAGGCTGCTTTAATACAGACAAGGCAAGGATATTTTTTTGTCTCCGTTTGTTTCTCCAGAACATTCTCTTCTCTGCACATTTTTAATGAGATAAATATGCCTTTATGGGTCACAATGATGGAAATTCTTTACTAACTCTTTGCAAATACATCTTTTTAAGACCATTCCTTAAATAAAGCAGCTTGCTATTAGGTGTTAGGTGTTTGCCTGTTTCCAGAACATTGACACTTATAGCTCTCTTTTGATTTTACTGCAGGACAGCACTGAACCTGGCTTGCTTTAAGGCCCAGCTTTACCTCTGCAGGCTCCGTAACCTTAATTAAGTCCCTTATCCTCTCTGAGCCTCATTTTTCATCAATGAAATGGAAGTATTGACGCTTTCTTTCTAGGATTGCTGCATTAAAGGATTTAATGTAAGTGCAAGTGCTTTGTAAATTGCACAAGCCAATTTCAAAATGAACCATTACTGTGATTATTTATATTTGGAGATTAAAATCATTTGGTGTTAATAAAGGAACAATGATGGATTAATGACATCCTGAAGATCTAAAATAGAGTTGTAGTGGGATGCCAGAAATTGGGTAATGAACAGACATGCTATTGGTAATTTCTCAAAAGTATTAGAGGGACAATGGGGGAAGATCCCGAGTGTGGTAGGAGCTGTTTGGAGAAAGAACCAAGGGACAGAATGTGCTTCAAAGACATGCTTTCTGTAAGAGACAAAACCTCTTCAGCCCGGAGAGGTTACTGTGTGCCGTGATTTTATAGACAGCACGGGGTAGTCAAATGAGTTAGTCTCTGATCTGCCACTTCCTAATTGTGTGAATTCTTTAATCTCTCTGCAAAACGTGAAGAGAATGACACCTGTCTCAACGGGGTTATCAAGATTAAATGGGATGATACATGGAAAGTGCCTGGCTTCTAATATGGCTCAGTAAATATGTTTTTCTCCTCCTCCTTCTTTTATTTTTTTGGTCAGATAGGGGCTCTAACTAGGTGAGCCACTATCAATACTATGAGAAGCGTATGTGCTTCTCAGAGCATTCAGGCAAGGTCAGAAAGCAATCAGTAGAATCCTAATAAATTCTCTGGGATTACTCAGGATGCTGTCCAACCTTGTTAATAGAGTTTGAGTATATGTAGCCACTTCAATTATCATCTGGTGCAGAGAAAGTTGTTGGTGTTCAGTACGTGGAAAGACTCTGAAGAGGGGGCTCTGAGGAAAGCAAGGAGGTGTCTGTGCTGAGCGAAGGGTGTACAGGGATTCAATTCAGGACCCCTTCAGAGATAAGCATTCTGTGTTGAGGAATGAGGAAAGCAATCATCAGCTAAGCCAGACTTTGGTAAGAAGCTCTTGCTAAGGGACGCCTTATGAAGAATCAAGTTTTCCAAACGGTAGAGTTGACTCATTGAGTCATTTTTAAGTATTTGTTATCTACCACTCTTTGGGCAAACAACTGAGGGTTTATAAATGTAAACATTTCAATTATAAAATATAACTTTTTAAGAATTGTTAATTCAAAATACATCTAAATAAGAATGAGTAGTCAATGATTTTAGCTATTAAATATATAAGCATATTAAATTATGCAAGTAAAATGGAAATCAGTTGAAAAAAGGAAGCTTTTTTCCATGTCGTCAACTTTAGACCTAAGGCGATCTGTTTGCATAGTGTGCTGAATGTGGACAAAATGTGGTCATAGGACAGCTACTTGGTATTTTTATCTTCCAGATTTTTCCTATAGTCCTCACTAAAGAAAACAAATTCAAAGTGAGTGAAGTTTTAAAACTTACCTATATTTCAAAGTTCCATAGGCTTCGAATTATTGTTGTTATACCACAAGAAATTCCATCTTTTTTCCATATTAGGTTAGGAAATGATTCTGACATTTCCCATATCTCTTTCTTCCACACTATCTATATTTTGTAATAATACTAATAATCTCATCTTATATTTGAGCTTTCCAATTTTATATGTTCATCATCTCATTTTAAGCCAAGGCAATTTAAACACTTATATCAGAAGTTGCTGCCTCTGTCCCGATCCTGTATGATGGGCAGGGAAGGACATGGAGAAGTGAGGTCAACACCTGTGACCAAATAATCAGGGAAGTAACAGGGAGAAAATGTTAGTGAAGTCTTCCCATAGTGCCTTCTTTTCCAAATACCATAGTTGTGATTGGGGTGGGCCTGGGAAAGATGTGATGGAGGGGCAGTCTAAACACACCCATGGACCTGTCACTTGTCCTAAGGTGAGAGTGGGAGCTAGGGCTGTGAAGAAGGACTGTTTCTTGATCATCTGCCATGTGCCAGGTAGATGCTAATAGCTTAGCACACATATTTTTAATCTGCTCAACAACTGTAAAAGATAGATATTTTTACTATCATCCCTTAGGTGAGGAAATCAGCTTAGAGAGCTGTGGTAAGTTACCAATATGTATTTTAAGAATACGTCTTGTGTTTATTTTACATTTAGTTGTAAATTTACATTAAAATTTCTCTTGTTGCCTTCTGATGTGGTTCCTTAGTCTTTATTAGAAATCCAAATGGAAGATCTGATTGTTTCCTTACAAACGAGAATAGCCCTTATACATGCAGCATGTGACAAAATAAAAATAAAAGTAGTTTGGAATATCTCAGTGAGGGCCGTACCTGAGGATACTCTGTTCTAGAACCTGGATCTGGTGCTGGTCTTGTTGATTTTGCTTCTTCATCTCTTCCTGTTCTTTTCCACTGCTGATTCCATCTAGAAGCCATTTCTCTCTCAAGGCCTTTTTCTGATATCAGGAAACACAAAGATGTTCTTAGTCAACAGTTTCCAAAATCTCTGACTGCTTTCAAATCTTATGAATTTCCATAATGGACTTATTAAGGAGAAATTATTTTCTCTCACTGCCTTTCTTGAATAAATCTGGTATTTTCCTTCTTTGCATACTTCTTGATTTCCTTCCAAAGCCAGTTTTTATGTATCTAATTCCTAGTTATCCTTCAAGGTCTAGTTCCGGTCCCTCCTTCTCTATGAAGATCTCTGTCCTCCCCTTGCACCTCCAACAGCTGGGTCCTCACCTTCAGAGAACTCTCCTTCAGAGTCACACAGCACTGTATGTTCACATGCACTATATGTTTGCTGTATGTTTATAGCAGTCTTATAGGGACCTTATCATGTGATGCTTTACTATTATGTGTTTGGTAGATGGGTTTATATCTTGTGACCCTAACAAAGTAAAAAGTTCCCTGAAGCCATTTTGATATTCATCCCAGTGACAGTATACACTGACTGCTTCAAAAAACATCTTTTGTGGGATTAATTGGAATGGTGGGCAAAACAAGAGATTGTGGCTGTATCTTAAACTAATTCAGTGTTAGTCTTAGGCTGCGTGGTCGACATTTATTGTTTTACCTACTCAGTACCCCTCCTTTCTTCTGAGAACCCCTCTGGTTCCAGATATCCCTTAAGTTCAGCTCCCTACTTAATAATTCCAATAATATAATGCACAAAATTCACTGATCTGTCTAAATATTGGTGAGATGAATTTTTGTCAACTTTAATAGAACAGAAAAGATTATTTCAGTCATTTATATACATATCACTATAAGAAACACTCAGGTTGGCTGGTCTTATGATGCTGAGTGGTGGAGGGCAGAGAAAGTGCTGTGATACATTAACTTGGGGCTACATTCTCAGTTCTTAGTCTGGTTAGGAATAAGAATAATTTCTTTTTTTTTTTTTTAAGGATTGGCACCTGGGCTAACAACTGTTGCCAATCTTTTTTTTTTTTTTTCCTGCTTTATCTTCCCAAACCCCGCCCTGTACACAGTTGTATATCTTAGTTGCAGGTCCTTCTAGTTGTGGGATGTGGGACGCTGCCTCAACGTGGCCTGACGAGTGGTGCCATGTCCGCGCCCAGGATCTGAACCCTGGGCTGCCGCAGCGGAGCGCACAACCTTAACCACTCGGCCACAGAGCCAGCCCCCAGAATGATTTTAATTTTAGCCCTATAAAACTTTCTCCATAATTCACAAATTGTCCTTTGCCTCTGGCAGAGAACTCTTCACATCTAAATATAAAATATAGAATTTAGATGTGCCATCAAAATGATATGGTACCATTATATATTGTAATAATCAACACACTTATTTTGCTTTTATGCCACAGTTTAGACTGGTGCTTTAGTTTAGGAGTCTAATGAATATGATAAAATCTATTTCAAAACAGTGACATTCAGAATCAAAAGCCATATTAGCTAAATGAAAATATAAATGACATGTGGGTAATAGATCTTTTGGCCACTTTTTAGGGAAAGGTTACCTTGAAGCACTTCTGCGTTCTACGCGGCAGTTAGAGAAGACTTTAGGAATAAATTAGTTTTTCATACCATGAGTTAAATGGACTTCCAGAGAAGAAGAGTTTTCTAGATGTAGTGTGTTTTGTGTTTCTTGGTGGCATCAGACTGTGATCATGATACTAGGCGAGAAGATCCAAGTACACAAATATCAGAAGTGTTTGAATGTTAGAACACTAATGAGGTCCCAGCAAAACCAGCTTTCCAGCACATCACCCATTGTCAGGTTCCGGAGCTAAAGAATATCAGAGTGAGTTACTGCAACTATTTTGAAATGTACGCTACTGATACAGGAGGCGAACTTTATAAATGTTTACATTTGTGTTGTTTAAAAGTGGGTGGTTGAAGTGTCATGAAATAGTTTCAATCAGAAAAGTGGTGAGGAGAGTCACTGGGATGGGGACAAAGGAATGAAGAAGAAATAAAAGAAAGACTGGGATCTGTAGAGGCCGACGGAGCTTTCTTGACTTGGTGAATGTATTTTGGAATCGACTTTTAAAATACTTCTACACATTTTTGAACCCTGTTTTGCAATGATGCCTCGTTGCTGTTCATTATAGCCAACCGTTTTCTGCAAAGCTTGAAAGAATGTACTTTACTGAAACTGCCACTCTTTCTTCTGTTCTCTTTGCAACTTAAGCCTCGTATACAGTGTGCATCACAGTATAAATGTCTTAAATTTATATGTCAGTTACCATTTTAACATCACAGACCAAATTTTATTGTATTTTCTTAGTATCCAGCTTAGTACCTTGCACATAATAGGTGCTTAATAAATGTTTATTGACTGAAAGGCCCTATGGACACCTATATAAATTCTACTTATCGGTTAAGACTCAGTTTAAATCCCACACCTTTAATAGAAACTTTTTTGACCACCCCAGATTAAAGAACTGCTTACGCTCATATTTAAATATTAAAAAGATCATCACTTGACTTGTCATAGTTATTTATTGAATCTTGAATTTCCCACTAGGTTGCAGGTAGGTCTACAGCCCTGCAGGGCCGCTGCTAGTTTCTATGGTATTAATATGCAAATTAGTCCCTACTCCCAGCCCTTTGGGTCAGTGCACAGCTGGGGAAGGCAGACCGCACCTTTGTGCCAGAGAAAAAGAAACTTCATCCTCCAAGCAAAGCAGCTCTGTGCCAGGCTGCACGGTTCCAAGGGAGTGGGGGCAGGATTTCAGCACCTCTCTCTCAGGTATCTTTGTGCAGTGCACAATCCGCACAAGTGTGTACAGCAGTCCAAAGCATGATAAATGTTTTGATTGGATTAGATTAGAAGAGGTCTCCTGGGTTCTAGAAAGCAAACCTATAGGGATTATCACACACTATTGCTTTTTGGACTATTTTTGGCAAGTACTCAAATGAGGTGCCACCTTAGAAGTGGACCTTTCAGTGTGTCAGAGTTTTCCTATGTGAAACTTAGATCCTAGAATGAGGAATATTAAAACCTGAGGGGATATTAAAATCTTTTCTTCTGCTGTGAGTTCTATTATTGTTTGGCTACTCATTCTACAAGGATAGTAATTGCTGAATGCTAGAGAGCTATCAGTTTACTCAGAAGCAGTAGTTAGTTCACTGGGAGACCCAAACTGTGTGTAAATTGTGTGTGTGTATGTGAGAAAGAGAGAGATTGACAGAGAGAGAGGGCACACAAGCACTGATTTTGGAGCTAGTAATGGCCTATCTCAAAAATTGTTGTAGATTTGACTTTTGACTTCATTTGAGTTGCACTGAAACAACTTGCTAAAATTTGTTTTTATTTCATTCATTTTCTGGGAGGACACATTGCATCTCTTGGCTATGTCTACTACTCACGTAAATTCAGTGTGACATATTGTAGGGGTAGCAGGCTGGCTATGCTTTGAAATGATCCATCAAACATCAGAAATGTCAATTTGTATAGGAGCAAAGAAACAAACAAAACCAGAGAACTGAGGTTGATTGAAATCTTAAATTATGTTTCTCTTCGGAGGTGGATACTTGATTCATCAAAAAGATGGATTTAGCTGAATTTGGCAAGTTTAACTTAAGTTTGTAGACCCCACAATTGTTTCCCTGAGGGATTCATTACATCTATTGATAGCAGCCCTGCCAGGTAAGTAGTTTCCTGCTTGGGCCTGTTCACAAGGAGCTCCTGTTTGTCATTTGGTTGCATCCTGTGACTAAGCTACAGAATAAAATGTTGAAACTCAATGTGCTTTAATTACAAAATGACCGCACCCACGAAAGATGTAAAGTCTGATTTTGAAAATGGAGGTTTATTTTTGGTTATGATCTCATTTTCTGTCAAAACAAAATAAAACAAAAACCCGAGCCATACTCAAACAACATTGGATCCATTGCCCCGAGCTTTTAAATATGAACATCCTTGACCAGGCCAGACAGCGTCTGTTCTGCACCCCCCAAGGGAAAGGCTGGTCTTTCATCAATTTCAAAAGAGACTTCCTAGCTGGATCTGCTCCCTAGGGATGTTAAGCAATACTGTGTTCAGGGCCAAATTATCAAGGCTGAATTCTCAATGTTACCCAAGAAAATGAGGAAATTCAGTAATAAAGGGTAAAAGCAATAAAACCATGTTTTCAACTTTCCACGTGTTTGCCAGAAGGCATTAATCTCATATGCAAATATTACTAGCTTCTTGGCCTCCTCTATGGTTATTAGGGTGTTAGTAACGCTATGATGGAATTTTTTCCCTCCTAAAGCTTCTTCACTATCGAATTTGAGTGCCATTAGAATATCTGAATACAAAATCATTGAAATGAAAGTCATACGTTACCTTCAAATGCTGATGTTTTAGTTTTTCTTCCTCTATTTTCAGACGCTTCTGTGAGATTTCTTCCTGTACTTTTCTTTTATCCTGAAATAAAAAAGTTCTAGAATAATCTATTTTTTCATTTTGCTTAAATATGTTTCCTTGGGGTTGTTATCAAATAACCGGCCAGCAGTATGCCCTTGGCGTTGGTATGAAGATGCTTTGGAAACTCATATTTCAAAGCAAAGGAGAGCAAAGTGAGATATTCAAAGCATTTTGCTGATGGAAAACGATACAAGGTTCTCTTTCAAAGAGGACTTAAAAATATTTTAATGTTTTTCCTTCCGCTCTCCCCTTTCTATCTTCCCCATTAGTCTAGCGAGATCGAGCTACTGAGTGATGCAATGTAAAAAGTGAATTTTAAGGAGGGAGTTTTGAAATAGGCATGAGGCAACATTGTGAGAAGAGAGGCTGTTCCTGGCACAGGGCTGAAGAAACTGCTGGATAAAATGTCTGCTAATGCAGGAAAACAGGACAGCCTA